AAGACATAAACAGCTGCAGCGTGAGCGCCATTGTTCACTTTTAGCTCTTGTAAGGTGGTTCTCCCCAGAACCTGAACAGTGAGGAACGTTTGGACTTTTTTAATGTTCTGTTATGTGGGAGAGGGACGTCAGAGGTTGTGGACAAACACCAACACCAAATTAAATGGACCTGATGTTGTTACTGATTTTCTATCAGGTTTACTTTGAATCCAGGTCCCTGCTGAGCCCGATGCAAACCGGCCGGTGGTCAAATCACGTCACAGTTTTTCAGTCTGCTCCACTGATGCATCGTGATCCTTTATTTCCCTGTGATCTGATTTGATCTCTGTAATTTGTATTTGACTAATTATGAACAGCCGCACAGACACTGATGTGGGTCTGGACTCTTTCTTCTTATCTGACAAAGTGATGAGGTGGTTTTTAATTTGAGGCCTTGCTGACTGCAGTGGTGATGGATCACCATACCTCCAGGGGCCAACAGAGTGGACACACTTCCTGTCTGTCCATAGAGACACTTCGGAAATATAACACAGCTGTATTTATAATTTAGTATTACAATTTATTTTACCCTCCAGCTGAACCAGTTTGATGCTGCATCTGATTTTGGCTGCTGGTAATATTAAGCTAGCATGACCAACATAAAGCCAAAATACCCAAATTTATGGAAAATATGCCAGGCTGATTTAAACAGCAATTTTCATCCAACACCACTGGATCACCTGAAGAACCACTGGATACTTTTCAGCAGTAACTCTGGGACACACAGAACTCCTTCAACAGCCACAGGAACATCCTCAAAAACCAGTGGAGCCACCTTAGAGGCTCTTCAAGGAAAACCTCATGCTTATTAAAATAATACTTCACCTGAAAAATGATCCTTTGGATATAAATTACTCAACACGTGTGTCCTTGATTTTATGAAGAAGATTTCGTGTGTTTTTTTCTTGCACCTTGGAGGTCAAGGTGAACAGAGAATCCACTCTCTCCACCTCTACCACTGTGATCTCTTCAACGAGCACAGAAGCCTTCTCAAGGATAGGACCTCCTCAGCAGCCACTGGAACCACTGATACTACAAGGACTCTTGTAACCCTTCTCAAGGACCATAGGTACATTTAGGACCAGTGGACCCAGCTCAAGAACCATTGGAGTTCTTCAACATCCACTAGAACCATCTCTGGGACCATTGGAACCACATTATGGAGCCACAAAACTTCCTGGAGGACCACGGGACCTGCTCAAAGACCCACATAACCACCCAAAGGACCAATGGAGCCTTCTCAAGGACCCCTACAACCCCCTTAAGGAATCCTGATACCCTGAACCCTGGACCACCTCCTGATAGACCTCTAAAACCTACTCACAGATAACTTAAACCATCTTGGGCACAGTGGGAACCGTATTATGGAGCCACAAAACTTCCTCAGAGCCCAGTGGAGCCTTCTCAAAGTCCACTAAAACCTTCACTCCACTGGGGTTTCTCTGAGCACCAGTAAAGCCACTTCAAGGCCCACTGGAGTTCCTCAATGACCAGTGGTGTCTTCTCAAAGATAAGTAGAACCATCCTAGGGATGATTGGAACCATGTTGCAGAGCTAAAAACTTCCTCAAGGACTAGAAGAGCCTTCTCAAGGATAATTGGGACATTAAGGACACCTGTAACCACTTCAAGGATCACTAGACTCCCTTGACATCACTGGAATTATCTAAGGATAACTAGAGCCATCTCAGGGACCACCACATTACAGGGTCAAAAACTTCCTCAAGGACCAGTGGATCCTTCTATATGACCACTAAAACCTCCTTGTGGATGACTGAAACCTCCTGAAACCTCAAACCTACTGAAGGAGCCACCACCACTCTTACACTGGGATCTATGCAAGAAGCACTGGAACCTTCTCAGGGAATACAAGGACTTCATCAGGGGCCGAACCACTTATACTGCAAGGACTCACCCCTGTGACCCTTCTCAAAGACCACTGGGACATTAAGGGCCCCTGGAACCACTTCAAGGGCCACTGGAGTTTTCAGTGATCACTGGAATCCTCTCAGAGATAACTAGAACCATCTTAGCAACCATAGGAACCACATTATGGAGCCATAAAATTACTTGAGGACCATGGGAACAGCTCAGGGACTCACATAACAACCCCAAGGACCACTGGAGCCTTCTCAAGGACCACTACAACCTCCTTTAGGAATGCTGAAACCTCCTGAAAGACCACTAAAACTTACTCAAGGGGCCACTATTGCTCTACCACTAGGATCTCTTCAAGGATCACTGAAACCTGATCAGGGATAAGGACCTCCTCAGGGATCACTGGAACCACTTATACTTCAAGGACCCACCCCTATAACCTTCTGGGGGACAAATGGAACATTGAGGCCCCTGGAACCACTTCCAAGACCACATTTATGACGACTGGAATCTTCTAAAAGATAACTAAAACCATCTTAGGGAGTGTGGGAACCTCATTATGGAGCCACAAAACGTCCTCAAAGACCAGTGGAGCCCTCTCAAGGACCACTAAAACCTCCTAAAGGACCTCTAAAACCTACTCAGGGAACCACTAACACTCCACCACTGGGGTTTCTCCAAGCACCAGTAGAGCAACTTGAAGGCCCACTGGTCCTCAGGGACCAATGGTGTCTTCCTAAAGATAAGTAGAACCATCTATGGGATTACTGGAACCATGTTAAGGAGCTAAAAACTTCCTCGAAGACCACTTCCTCAACAGTCACTGGTATCTTCTCAAGGATAACTGGAGCCATCTCAGGGACCGCCACATTACAGAGCCACATAACCATCCCAAGGACCAGTGGATCCTTCTCTATGACCACTAAAACCTCCTTTAGGATGACTGAAACCTCCTGAAACCTTCTCCTCTCTGACACCTCTAAAACCTACTCAGGGAGCCACTACCACTCAACCACTTGGATTTCTTCAAGGTACACTGGAAACTTATCAGGGACAAGGACCTCCTCAGGGACCATTGGGATCACTTATACTACAACGACTCACCCCTGTAACCCTTCCCAAGAACCACTGTGACATTGAGGACACCTGGTACCACTTCAAGGACCACTGCAGTTCATTTATGATCACTGGAGTCTTTGTGAAGATAACTAATTGGAACCACGTTACAGTACCACAAAACTTCCTAAAGGCCCTTGAAAGTTACTCAGGGAGCCACTAAGACTTTAAGAACTAGTAGAGCCACTTCAAGGCCCACTTGAGTTTGTCCATGACCACTGGTATCTTCTTAAAGATAACTAGAACCATCTCTTGGACGACTGGAACCATATTACAGAACTAGAAACTTCCTCAAAGACCAGAGTAGACTCCTCAAGGACCACTGGGACATTATAACCTCTGGAACTACTTCAAGGATTCCTTAAAGATCCTGGACAATTCCTTGATGGTCACTGGATTCTTCCCAAGAATAACCAGAACAATCTCAGGGACCATTGGAACCACTTTACAGAGACACAAAACCTCCTCAAGGTTCAGAGGAGCCTTCTCAAGGACCACTGAAATTTCCTTTAATACTTCTGAAACCTCCTGAAGGACCACTAAAACTATCCAAGGGCAGGGAAGAGGTGAAAACTAACATTATTTATTATCATTGTCCTGAAGTGTTACACTGATAGAAACAAGACAAACTTCTTTAAGAAAAAAAAAGTTCATTAACAAACTGAATTAGTTTTGTTTCAGTGACAGAAACAAAGAATCTCATTTAAATTAAAGATGTGTTTGTGTTTGGGAGGCGGAGCTGAACAGGAGCAGTGGATTTCAGCGTTCATCAGAAACCTCACTCAGGATAATGAAAACAAAATGTTTTCTATTCTGGATCATTTCGACGATATGAGACTGTCAGAGACAGACGACCACAGCGGGCTGTTTCATTTTACTGAACATGTTTTAATTTGTGGCAGCAGAGACGAGGCGGTGGTGGCGGCGGCTCCCGATGACTATCAGCTCAGCTCCCATCTGATTTACATCCTCTGATGACTAAAACTGATCACATGAACCTGCTGGATTCTGCTGGACACACTCTGGTGCTCTGATTACGTTTATTATCTATATAATGCTCTCAAGGACTCCTGGAATGTCCTCAAAGATGTTTAAAATCTCAGGAGGAAAGAGGTCAAATCAGGTTAATTACAAGAACAGTAAATGATATGTATTTCCTGTCACATGACGTGAGCAGACACATGACCAACAACAGAAAAAATACTCCAAATGACTGAAACCTTCTGAACCTGCTTCACTGTTCACATTGAATCTTTTATTTTGTTACAAATATGTGTAGAGCACTGGAAGTTATTGTGTGTTGTTATTTTCATTTATGCTGCTCCTCAATAAATTAGTTTCCCAACAATCCCTGACAGATTCCTTAACAACTGCTGGAATTTTCTCAAGGACCCTGGAGCTTGCCCAAGAACCCCAGGAACCACCTCAAGGACCACTGTAGCCCAAGGACCCCTGGAAACTTCTTGTGGATACCTGTGACTGCCCATGAACTCCTGATGAAGCCTCTTCAAGGGCTTTTAAGCCTCTCCAAGAACCCCAGGAAACCTTCCTGTAGAGTGCTGGAGACCTTTCAAGGACCCCTGGAACCTTCTCAATCACTCTTAAAGCTCCTGTTACCCAGGAACCGCTGCTGCCTCTTTAAGAACCCCTGGAAACTTCACAAGGACCTTTTGTAACAATCAGGACTACAGGGGAACCTAATTAAGGCCCCCTGAAACCCCCTGAGGATCCCTGCAACCCTCTCAAGAATCCCTTTTGCTTCCTGAAGGACACCTGGAACCTTCTCAGGTTCACCTACTGTAGAAAGATAATTTAATTAACATCCTGTTCTTCTATATTAACTGCCTTTGTGTGTGTGTGTGTGTGTGTGTGTGTGTGTTTCTCAGATTTTACTGATTTTAGCTCTCTGCTGCCACCTGCTGGTCATCTGAAAGCATCACAGCAACAAAACCACACAACAACCACAACTTTCCCTTTTGCTTTTTAATTCTTTCTGTAGGGCTATCTTCAGTCCACATATCAGAACCACAGGTGTGGTACTAAGACAGATCTTCTGACACTTTAATGAGAAGTTGTGCGCACAAGATACAAAATAATATCATCTTTCAGGACTTCAGAGGCTCCGTAATATGTCACTGTTAAAATATACAGAGCTTCAGAAACAGAATGAGGCTGTTGTCCTGTCAACATGTCGATCTGATAGCTGAACTGGTCTAACACTAAATGACAGAGCAGCAGAGTACAAGATGAGGTTTAAATAAAGACTGTTATCAGACACACAGCTGCAAGGAAACAAAAAGTAACAGACAAAAAAAAACACTTAAATACAGTTAAACTGATGAAATTATAGACGACAAACTGCCTCTGCTTAGCAATTCCAACATTAAGGGTCAAAGTTCAAACACAGTGACTTCAGCTTAGTGTAGAATTTACAAATTCACGTTTCTCCCTCATCATTAAAATGTTTAGATTGCAGTAAGACTGCCCCCTACTGGACTGTAATACAGCTGCACACATACTAATTAGTTTTTTTTATCATCTAATTTAAAAACTAAAATACATATTTGTGAACAAAACATACAGTCAGTTTACTGCTGTTTGACTTTGTCCAATCCTGTGGTTTGAATTTTGGCATCATCTTAACTTTACATCAGGATCACTGATTAGCTCTTTGAGGCTCAATGAGCCGAGACGTTTTGTTCAAACAGGTGTTTCACTCTGAGCTCTATCTGAGGATTTGGCAGCTTGTTTCAAAGACACAGTGAAGTTTTATTGCAAGGTCATGTGACAGATTGGGACGTCATCACTCCTCCAGGGTGCAGAAGCCGTCGCTGAGCAGGAAGTGAGTCCGGAGCACAGACAGGATAGGGCTCCGCGGGGCCCCAGCCAGACAGTACGCCTCGTCCACGCTCAAGCCACGGGACCGCAGTGTCCGCAGGGCACCGCCGCAGCTTTCCCTGCCGCCATGTGACGTCACCAGGACGATGCTGAGAGGGCTGTCCAACATGCTGAACCTCTGCCGCATCTTGCCGAGCTGAGCCGAGAAATTCTGTGGAAAAAGAATGTGAATTATCGTTTAGAAATCTCAGATGTCTTGAACTTCTCAGGGCTTTGAGTCAGCTCTGGAGAAGCTTCTGTTTGAATTATAAAGTAAAGGTGATGTATCGTTGCTGTGAGTACCTGAGCGGCCAGTCGGCTCGCCGGCATCGGGTCAGTGTCGGGGCGGATGACAGCGTCTCCGCAGAACATTACTCTGAGCTGCTCTGACGGAGCTACCTGCTGGTCCAGCAGCGCTGAGAGAACACCTGGACCAATGACAAAGAGGATGATTCACTTTCTAACACCACACTCACCTGTACACCTGTCAATACATTATCTATCACATCAGCCATTTTTACACAGAGATGGCGCTAAAGAGCCGCTACCAAGTCCCTCTTTATGCCGTCTTTGCATTTTCATGCAGAACCAAACAATAGCGGACGCTCCAGTGTGTGATTTAAGACAGCATGCCAACATTGCAGAATCAGAGGAGGCGTGACATGTAACACAACGGCGTCAGAATCTAGTGTGACATATTACTTGTGTCACCAACACTTTGTAAACAATAACAATGGTATAACATGTCATTAAAAATCTTTCACCATCCCTGTTATATGGCGGCTGATCCAGTTCTCTGCTCGGAAGGTAAGGAACTTCTGGACCTCACTGTTTTCACTATTTGTGGACATTTTTGGCTGCTGTTCTTCTTCTTCCAGTTAGCTGCTAAATGCTACCAGCTACTATTTCAATCTCCCACGATGGGTTGCACGCATAACAATTCGTCAAAATGTCACTCCCGTGCCACCCATGATCCTGTCCTGCCAGCTGTCCCTTTTATACAGAGCTGTTACGACGCTGTTACTACCTCCGATGCTGCCTTAAAGGTGAGACAACTCTGTCCCCTCATTCTGCAATCGTACCTCTGTTACAGAACAGCGAGGCAACGTAAGAGTGTGAAATTCCAGCCTTGAAGAGGCTGTGAGTTTTCTACAATGACCCATGTCCTGTGTCAGGACCTTTAAAGCCACACGATACAAACTAGCAGCAATGACGGCTGAACTGAACGATGAAGTGTTCCTTTATGTGTTTAGAAAATTCTCCTCCTTCTTAAAGAAGCAGTGTGTAGGATTTAGTGCCATCTAGTGGTGAGGACTGCAGATTGCAACTAGCTGAAACTTCTCCCATGTGCCAAGCTTGAACTCTCACCTAAGGCCCAGACTCACCAAACCGACTTCAAAGACCTGGTAGCAAAGAAAGCCAATTGTTGCATCTCAGATGACCTCACGCCGTCTGTGTCTCTGCCAGAAACCTGCGCATGAACAGCGCAAGACCACGTTCTGCGCCGGTGTGAGAGAAAGTAACTCTCGAACACCAGCAGATGGCGGTAGTCTGTATTCATCATTCATAAAGGGAAACAGGACGGCCGTGTTAATGCTAGTTAGCCAGTTAGCACATTAACAACACAATCCAGTGTTGAAAGAACAGAGCATATTTACTGTGCGCCACTGAACAGTAACACAAACCATCAGGAAACATCTGCTTCTGCTAATAATATTAATGACAAACAAAAAATAATCTGACCTTCTGTAACAAGTTTGTTTTTATCTCACTCCCTCGACTTTAGCTCTTTGTTTACTTTCCTCACTTCCATCTCTCTTCTTGTGAACGGAACTGGCGCTGTCACCAAATCAACATGCTAAATTGGCTCAAAAAACAGCCAATGGGGGAGCAACTGAGCGGGACACACTGCACCAACTAAGGCGACAAAAGCTCTCTGCCAGCCCAACACTGACTGACAGCCGACAGTCGGCCTGGTGTGTCAGGGCCTTTAATTCTAAAAAATGTTTTTCTTAGAATAGGAAATTATGTTTCGCTGGTGCTTCGATTCATTTTAAAGACCCGAAATGATGTATAAGTTATTTCAGTCTCAAAATTCAAACAGAATTTTATGACAGTAACTGTGATCCACAGCAAGAACTCCTCCTCGTATCCACTGCACATCAACTGTAATAAAGGTCAGAGAAGAAGAAACTTCCTGACCTTTCTGCGATGCCCGTGGCTCCTCGTTTCTGTCCGTCGACAGGAAGAGCTGCACGTTATTTTTCAGTAAACTCTCGATGAAATCCTCCTCGCTGGAAAAACAGAACCTGCTGACTTCAAGACCTGCAACAGAGCGGTGATGACATCATCACAGGAAGTCATCAACAAGACTACAAAAACTCCAACACTGATCTGATTATAATCTGTCTGATGACATCTGAAGTTAGATTACCGTAATGTCTGGTTTTGCTCATAATGGTAAAAGTAAGATTACCGTAATGTCTGATGCTGCTGGTGATGGTAAAAGTAAGATTACCGTAATGTCTGGTGCTGCTGGTGATGGTAAAAGTAAGATTACCGTAATGTCTG